GCTTGTTTTACAACGTCCTTACCAAGCGACGAAAACCCACTCCCGATGGCAAACACCGGGGGGGGCGGCTTGTTTTACAACGTCGTTGCCAAGCGACGAAAACCCAACCCCGATGGCAAACACCGCGTGGGGGGGTTGCTTTTACCTGTCGTTGTTGTCTCTCCTGGGTGGTTTCCATTCCTTGAACGGTATCAAGCAAAAAGTGTCGCAGCTTGCTGACGACCTTCGTGCGAATGATGACCGTGAACACGTACATCTCATAGCATATGGTATCAACCCATCATCACATGTTCGCATGACTTAGTAAGGCATGTGATAGGCATGTTAACGGGTGATAACGTGCACTTTAACAGGTTTTGTTAACTTCCATCCACATGGGGGGTGTTAAGTAATCACCGGGTGGGTAACAACGTTCGCGAAAACGTGCCACCGAGAAACATGTTGAAGTTGTCTCTTCTTTATAGATGCGGCATAACCGTCGCCTCTTCGAATCCTCTATAGGGCAAACAGGGAAGCGTCCGATACTTCAATTCTTGTTTATGTCCCCCATACTCCTAGCGCCGCAACCACCGGGCAGTCAGGGCCCATCATAGTACATTGTGCAGATTGTGCGCGCAGCCGCCAAAACAATCATTCTTAACCCAACAAAATCTCTCTGGTATCTGCCCGGCGCACTGGTTGAGCGGCGTGCGCTGCGGTGAACGCCATATCTGCCTTGCAAAGATAGTGTGCTGCACCGCTTACGCCGCACGACTCCGCTCTCTTCACGCTGGCCAAAATCCGACGACTACTCCGAGTATGGCGACGGCGTCAACTCGTACCTACCGTGTTATCTAGCCCTAGCTCTGGGTCGTCGTCGGAGGGGTTAGGCCCCTCCATGTACATACTGGACAACCGTCAATCCTCGGTATTCGCGTCCTTATGCAAAGCTTCGGCAATATCTTCCTGCGCACTATTTCTGAGTGCGCTACCTTCTGGTCAAGGAGCTTCAAAAGTTCAAGCTTCTGGCCAAAGTGGAGCCGCGTGTGAGGCTGTTGTGTAGCTGCCGCTCGAATCGTTTTTTTCCGCCCGCCTGGTGCTAGAAAGCCGCCTTCCACCTCTCCCCGCTTGGGCGGATTTGAGACGCGAGGTGAACTCTGCGCCTTCTTGGTTGCACACCGGTTGCATCTCGTTACCATCCGGATCCTCCGCCTCTCCACACATGCCGTGTATGCGGCCGCCACTGCCGCCTTTCTTTAAAATCGTGCGCGCCGCTTGGACTCAGTGCCGCATCTGGAAGCTTGCACAGTTCCGCGCGCTGCATGGTGTGTGTGTGTTTTTATTGTTTGCATCGGCCGCGCTAACCGGCTGACTCATGAAAAGACGTCAGTCTCAGCAAGTCTCAGTGCGGTTGAAAACACAAAACACTTCTAAGTGCCATTGACAGGGACCCCGTGCGGGGGCGGCATTGGGGAGGCTCAAACCTATCTCCGGATTAAACACAGAAACGATAGCGCAACAGAGGAAAACTGCACGTGTCAACCAAGGCTGCTACCTCGCCTCGAGTTCGTTTTGGAGTGCTTTCACCATCATCCTCCTTGCTTTCACCACCATCACTCTCATCGTC